TTTTAAAATGTATAAGATCCCAGTTCTTGATTCTTGGGGCAAGGGAGATGGCTCAGTAGAATAAGTTCTTGTCTGGCAAGGACAAGGGCCTGAGTTCAATCCCTGGTTTCACCAAAAGAAACAAACAAAAAACCCTCAAAGAATCAAAAAAAAAAAAAAAACCCAAAAACTGATTACTGATTCCTTGAAGTTTTTCCAGTACAGTTTGCTTTTTGATCATGAACTCTCTAACTATCCTGTTCTTATTTTATTTACTCATCCTCAAAACACAGATAATGACAGTATTGCCTTCCTGGGTATCATGAGGCTGTACTGGCACAACTTCATAAGGCACACAGTGAATGCTTAATAAGTGTCACTGTTCTTACTCAGCAGCTATTTAAGGAGCCTGTGCTATGTGATGGTATGTAGACTCTGCAAAATGCAAAAAATAAAGAATGTGTGTATCAAAGGGTTAAATTCCTTGATGTTTAAAGCTCCTAAAAGTAATAAAAAAACCCCAACCTGATCCAAGATAGAGTAACATGTGAACACACAGTTTATGGAAAGGAGATACAGTGATTTTTGAGTATACAAAAATCCACTCAATGTCACTGTCAGCAAGAGAATTGTAGACTAGTCTTGGTCAGGAGATCCCTTGTCATCAATCAAGGATTACAAGGACAATGTATTTTAAACATTGCATTGCATTAGGTAAGAGAAACACAAAAGTTAATACAACAGAATCTTTTATCCACACTTAAAATGTGTAGCCTTTAGTGTGAGAATTTTATTTTTAGGATTCTTTGTATGATTATACTTCACACATGTAAAAATATGCAAGCATACTAAGCACTGCTTTAACCAACAGAAGACTGGAAATAATATAATTGAATATTAGATGCATACATAACATGAATATAATTGAATATAGATATATATTTAAACTAATATATATTTATAGGACAGAATGGCAGCCTTATAGATGACAATGTAGAATCATCTTCTCAATATAAATTCAGTAAATAAAACCAGGATGTAGAACATGTCTTGAATATATTGCCAAATGTGCAGAAAATTGTCCACTACTTGTACATACATGTTCAGCCTACTGTAGGGTAGAGTCCTCAAGAAGTTGGAGCTACTTTCCTTTAGTTCAAAAAATAGACCTGGGCATCAGTGGAATAGAATAGAAGATGCAGAAGCAACTACAAGCACACTCAACCATGTTATCTTCTACAAAGGGGACAAACTTGATTACATTAAGAAAGACAGTCTCTTTAACAAATGGTGCTCAAAAAACTGGCTCTTTACATGCTGTAAACTAAAACTTGACTCAGGTCTATCACCAGGCACTAAACTAATGTCAAAATGGATTAAAGATCTAACCAGCAAAACAGAAACACTAAATCTCCTGGAAGAGAACATAGGTGGAAATGTTGAAGACATAGGGGTAGGCAAAGAGTTCATGAACAAAAATCAAACTGAACAGGAAATACTTGAAAGAATTAACAACAGGGACCTCCTCTTATTGAGAGGAGGTAGATCAAAAACAATTACCAACAGAGCAAAAAGATAACCCACAAATTCAGAAAACAATATTATCTCATAAGCACTCAGACAAAGGTCTTCTCTCTAGAATTTAAAAAGAACTGAAAAATATTAGGACCCCCAAATTTAAAGACCTAAAGTAGAAATGGGCATCTGAGATGGATACACACTTCTCAGATGAAGAAATACAGGAAGCAAATAAATACATGAAAAAATTCTCCACATCACTAGCCATTCAGGAAATGGAAATTAAAACAACACTGAGGATACTATCTCATCCCAGAAAGAATGGATATCATAAAGAAATCAACCAACAACAAATGCTGAAGAGATTGCAGGGAGAAAGGAACATTTCTCCACTGTTCGTGTGAAAGTAGACTGGTGCAATCATTATGGAAATCAGTGTGGAGACTTCTTAAAAAACTAGAACTGGAAATTCCATTCAATCCAGCTATCCCCTTACTGGGAATTTTCCCAAAAGAACTGAAAGTATCATATCATACTGATATATGTGCAACTATTTTAAAAGCAGCACAATTTGTGATAGCAAAATCTTGAAAACAACCAAAATGACCAGCACCTGAGGAATGGATGAAAAATATGTGGTGTTTTCATACAGTGGTGTATTGTGCAGCTATGAATAAACATAAATTCAAAACCTTCATGTATAAGTGGATGCAACTTGAAGGTATACTCATAAATGAAATAAACCAGATCCATAGGTATAAATATTGTGTTGTCTCTCTAGTGTAAGAACTCAAAAGAAGAAATAAAAATTGAAAAGTATAGCACAGTTAAATGGAAAGTGAGAACATAAGGATTAAACAATGAAGAGAGAGAATGGAGAAAAGTTAGGAAATATGGCAGGGACAAAACTATACATTTAAATAAACAAGATGGTTAAGATGATGGTCCTAAGAATCTCCATCAGGTGTTTGAAAATAACAGTTAATGGGTAGAATTCTCACCCTGACTAACTATATATGCTATCTGTGAACTAATCTACACTGAGGACAGCAATGTACAATATTAATACTATGCCTGAAATAGCTATCACTCTGGTCTTCTAAATGCATACTGCTTCTAATATCATCTCAATTATTGCTATACTGTTTAAAGTAAATGTTTGTAAAAAAAGATTATAAAATAAAACAAGGGACAAGAAAAAAAGTCATACAATTGTCCTGCTACAATGTTGTATGTGGTTTAATTTTTAAATTTCTGTGTATAATGTACAATTTTTATGTCAATTCTATTGGGATTTAAAGTTTAGAATATCCATGGTTGTTGGAAAATAGCAGTTCCATGTTATGTATAAGATGTTTGATATTCAGACAGATAGTGATGTTAATCCCAACTGCCTCTGTAACTGGGTAATAATATAATTAAACTTCTCAATGTTTAAAGACTAAAGTTTGTAGACAAAAAGTGAGAGAAATAGAGGGGCTACAAGGATAGCCAATATTTTGGCCCTAGCACTTCAAGGTCAGTGAGGATTCAGGACATAAGAAATCCTGTGCTGTGACATCCTGTAACTCAGTGGTGTCCCAAATTTTCTGATCAAGCAGATTATGGGGCCACAGAGGAAAATGATTGATGATGTATAGTGTGTCTAAAGATAGTCACCTAGAGAAACAAACATTTTTTCAGGATTTTACAGAGAGCAAATTGGTCAAGCAGTGGCCATGACTCATCCAGATGGATGACACTGATGAAAGATCTACAAGTTGCTGTACATGGTTTCAGGGTAAATCCTGAGGGGATTTGATTGACCTTGTGAGGCACAAAAGTTTCATTTTTAGTTATATAGGTCTTGCTATAACTTGGTCTTAACCATCCCACAGAAAAATAGAACCATGAGGTATAAAAAGTAATGCCATATTAATATGCTGAGCTGTAAAAGACTCAAGTCAACAACTTCTGACAACTACCAATTCTGCTAGTAATCCAGTACTATTATGGACTATTGGACTATATTGGATTATGTTGTTGAATTCAAGTACCTACAATATTTGGACTGGCATCAAGTGTGAAAATGTCCTTTACATACTTCTCCTATTATAGCTTCTCCAACAGTAATGGAACACCCATCTCTGACAAAACCAAACAAAATAGGGGGATATAAATAAAGGACCATTTTGTAACAAAAATATATACGTATATACAAAATAGGATAGAGATATAGCTACTTTCCTTTAGTTCAATGAGAAGAGAGGTTTGTACTAATATTGTTTAGACAAGATATCATGTGTGCATCTTGTCCTCTGAATAACACTACAAAGAGAATATGGAATGTATTGTTATAAGTGTCTTACTAACCTGTTTTGAAACTGTTTCATTGATATTTTATTTTCTCATTAAAAGTAATAAAAATAAAAAAGAGAGAGAGGAAAAAAAAGTTGGAAACAATGGCCATCTCTGAGGAGGTAACTGGTTTTTTTGGAAGTAAATAATGGGAACATAACTTATTTTAATTAGATATTAGAATTAGGCTATCTCCCTGCATTTTGGATTTTGTGTTTAAATCAGTGTCTTAGTTTCTTTCCTCTTTGAGTTGAAATACCACCCAAAATGAAGAAGGAAATGTTTATGTAGCTCATGTTTGTAAAAGTTTCAGTGCATTATAGGCTGGCTCCAAGGAAGGGTGATGTAGCAGCCACCCATTGGATGACCAACAGCTCACAATGGTGGAAGAAAGCAAAAGCACTAAATGAGTGTGAGTCAAGCCTCTTTATTTCCCTTATATTGTATCCAGCCTACTACAATTCAGGTGGTGCCAATCCAATCAGTGGTCTGATCCAGCAACCATCCACCCTTAGTTCCAGAGTATTTA